AAAACCGTTTTCTAAAACGCGAAATAACGGCTAATACTTGTTTTTCTAACATTACTTTTTTATAATGCAAAAAAGGGACGTCACGCCATCTGAAACCCCACCCCCTCCCCCTCATCACACACCGTCACAAAATTGCTGACCCCCCTCTCCGTTCCGAGTGTGACGTCATTTATGGACGACCCCACATCAATTTTTTTTTAAAAGTCAGAAATTACTCATACAAAAAAGGGAAGGATGGTAGATTTACTATGAATTTAAATAACATACAACTCTATAGTAAAATATTTTTTTCAGTTTTAGCAAAACTGTCAAATTAAAAAACACAGAGTTTGTACATTTATTGCATAAATACAAAAAATATAAAACAGAATGATTAACAGTGTATCAGTTTCACCATGAGACAAATGCCTTTTTTTTAAATACAATACAAATAAACAATTCGTGTTTTTTTTAAATATTCATTTTTATTCATTTGCTAAAACAAAAATACAATACAAACAATAAATCGTGTTTTCCTAATGTTTTGGTGTGTTTCGGTTGTTATAATAAAATACGCTCAACTGGAGGTAAACAAGCAACGGAGAATAAAATACGCTGAAATGGAGTTTTACCGTTGACTGTTGCATGTACTGAATTGTACTGACTGATGTACTCAACTGAAGTCAACTGTGTACTCAACTGTTTAGTTTACTGTGTACTGTAGTGTAGTGTAGCTATTAACCTAATAATTATTAACTATTAATAATTATTAGGCCTAAGTATTATTATTAGGCTATTAAATGATAATTGATATTATTATTATTAAGCCCTATTAAAACTATTATTATTATTATTTATTAGGCCTAGTAAGTTATTAACTTATTAGTAATTAAGCTTAATATTAATATACAACATACTTAGTTAGGCCGGTAAAACTTCATTGTAGCGTATTTTATTCCCCGCTTCACGTTCACCTCCAGTTGAGCGTATTTTATTATAAACACAACCGAAACACACTTAAACGGTAGGAAAATACTAGAGCTAGAGCTAGATGTAGATCTACTTATTTTTTATGAATGTGATTTTTAATTAGAAAAGGTTAAAAAAAAACATAAAAAAGCACTAGAACAGTTCCAATTAAATATCGTGTGATCGTCAGCGGGAGAAAAATCCTTACACGGTCGCGGGTTCACTGTGAGTTCACATTGACTTTAATTATCAGCTTACGTCATACCTCGGGCAATAGCTGTTTGAAATTGTGTTGGCCTTTGTTTTGGGGTCATTTTAAGTTCATAAATGTTTATTTATAGTATCATGCCTTGGAGATACTTGTAACAATACAAACTTAATCGCCTTGCAATTGTGAGTTACGTTTATGCCATGAAAATCCTAACTCACACACACACATATAGCACATTCAATATTCTAAATTTGGATTTTTCTCAAGTTTTTACAAAAGTAAATTATCACAATCTAAAACGAAGTCAGACTCTTTGTTTTTTATTCATTTGTTAAAACAAAAATACAATGCAATTAAATAAATCATGTTTTCTAATGTTTTGGTGTGTTTTGGTTATTATAATAAAATACACTCAACTGGAGGTAAACGAGAAGCGGAGAATAAAATATGCTAAAATGGAGTTTTACCAGTTAGGCCTATAGGCCATAGGCTTAATTAATAATTAAACATTTTTGTTACTGTTACACTTAGTCTTACAGTCAAGTCTTGTGTAGAATAGAGCGTATAAAAATAAATGACAATAATGTGAATGTAAAGTAGGCCTAAGTCAAGTAAAATACAACAATCAGCAATAACTAGGACTAATTAAAAATGGCCACGACTATTTCCAGCCGGTTGGGAATAGTCGTAATAGCCGTATTGAGGCTATTCCCAGCCGACTGTGAATAGCCCCAATACGGCTATTCCCAGACGACTGTCATTTCATGCTAACTAAATACTAAATACGACTAGGGATAATATCTTACAATTATAATAAAAGCATTTATTATTTATTGTGACTGGGGAGTGGGGTATAGATTAAGAGAGCAGCGCTTATATTTCCATTAAAAAAATATGGTTTAAGTTTAGTTTTTAGGCTCATATCTGCTATGTCAGTAGTAGATGATCAATTATCAGTATGCACTCTAATTAAATCTATACTAACTAGTCTAATAGACCTAGTAATTTTTAAATAAATAATATTAATTACGCATCAGTTTAGTTAGTAGTTCACATTTCTATTCAACTGTCAATTACCATTTGAAAAATTCGCATGGAACAAATATCAGTTTCCATCACACTTTTCACAAGTTGCTTTTTTCTCTTAGCAAAAATCTAAGAAACAGGCCTTTTTTTTTTTTTTGCAGATATGCCATCAATTACATCACACATGATTAAAAAAATACAAAAGTAACCCTTCCATGAACAACGTGAAAAAAATAATATTTTAATAATAGGGGCATAAATTAAGTGTCAAAATACAAGGCATCTAATGGGTTCAAACCCGCATCTTCTCGCAGGGCAGCCACCGACATGTCCACTCGACCACACAACTTCTTGCTTATTTTTGTGTGTTTTTTTACAGTAAATCTATCAAAACAGTCACGATCGGGAATAGACACTTCGATTAATAATTAAACTAACTAAACTAAATTAAGTAAAGTACTAACCAAACTACTATCATTATAGTATTTATATTTTAAAGTTTTACTCTAAAACTAGATCTGATAATAGTAATATAGTAATATACTACTATTCAACTCTGCTACTCTATTACTCTAGCTAACTAGCTAGAGTCTAAATCTAGAGTACTACTAGATCTAGACTGGTTAATTACTAATTAGACCTACTTTAGCAAGGGATCTAGGGTTAATGATATCATTAGTTAGTTCAGTGCTATTTTTGTGATAAAAGTATTTTTACCCTTAGATTAAGGGTATTGTATTATTATGTGCACATTCTATTCAATTTTTTTGATATTTGTATATATACAACTGAAAGTATGTGTGTCTGTGATACTTTTATGTATTACTCAGGGACTGTTTATCTGATTGGCATCTAACTTTGGAAGTTGTTCAGAATACTCCTGAGAAGATTTCTGCGATAAAAAACTTTAAATTCCTGCCCACGAGGGCAAAATGTACTGTTGGGACATGGTGTGGGGAGGGGGATGTGGTCATGGGAGTAGGGGCGTGATGTAGGGAGGCTGATGTGTAGGGAGTAGGGGCATGGTGTGGGGAGTAGGAGGGGGGAGTGTGATGTGTGGGAAATAGGGGCGTGGTGTAGGGGATGTGCTGTGGCGAGTAGAGTCATGGTGTGGGGAGGGTGATGTGGCATGGGGGAGGATGTTGTGTGGGGAATAGGGGCATTGTGTGGGGAGTAAGGACGTGGTGTGGGGGAGGATGTTGTGTGGGGAATAGGGGCATGGTGTTGGGAGTAAGGACGTGGTGTAGGGAGTAGGGATGTGCTGTGGCGAGTAGAGTCAAGGTGTGGGGAGGGTGATGTGGTGTGGGGAGTAAGGACGTGGTGTGTGGGAGGATGTTGTGTGGGGAATAGGGAGATGGTGTGGGGAGTGTGGATGTGGAAGATAAACATGTTCATTCAAACTATTCCTGTCTTTTCCCCACACACCATGGTGTTTGTGTTATAACATGATTGTTCTGTCAATCATTGCCATTTGCAGGATGATTGTTCAATCAATACGAGCCGCTTGTAACTTAAGTTGTGTGTGTGGGTGTGAGGGCAGATTAACCTGTTAGTTTTACAGCATGGAGTTGCTGTCTGACCTCGATTAGTTTGGATACATTTTGGGAAATCCAGTTTCTATTTTTATACATTGGAAATATACATGCGTAAAAAAAAACTTTCCCTGACATCCGGGAACGATATCTTGGGATTTCCATGTCAAACGTGTTTAAATGGCCTTATTAGTGTGTCCCAATTAGCTTACAGGGTGTCAGAACTATCTATATTAAGTTATATTGGACAGGCTGTCTAAAAGTATCTTTTACAAGGGCTCCCAAAAGTGCAGGTTTCCTCAAGTATTTTCCCAAGGGGTTCTGAAAGCATCAGTTAGGGTTCTTAAAATAGCATGAGTTTAGATATATTCTAATACGACCCAAGACAAGCTGTTTTGGAGACTGAATTCAACACTGGTCTTACAGTTGGCAAAACTTGAGTAGCCATGCTCTGGTAGTAGACAGACAGGCACGTGCTCAATTTGATTTTTAATAGCACGCATGGAAATGTCTCTACACGTTCAGTTGTAACCACTTTCACTCATCTTCTATTTGAATACATGGAGGGGGGGGGGTGTTACAGAATCACCAGTCTTATCGACGCAATTATAAGATTGTCCCAACCCTAACCCCCCACACCTCCACCCCCACCCGTCTAACGCCTATAACAGGATGTAAATCTCTATCAGCGGGTCGGAGTTTTCCGAACCAAGCACGTGACGTCACTGTGTTTACCGAGACACGCAGCTATATATAGTCTCCCACATGAGCCCTGACAGTCTCATGACTGAGAGCCTAAAGCCCCCCAGTTAACGGATGAGAATTTGTGTTGAGCTTATTAAGTAGCAGTGTGGATTGTCATAGTTTCAGCGACTCAACAGAGAAATTTTTAGCTGCTACCCAGTGCTAATAAAGTCGGCACATTTTTACCGAACTAGCGACGTTATTCACAACCACAAGGGGGCCCAACACAAACGTCTGTGAGTTCAGATAAGGTGACCACTATGGCCAAACGGTGAGTCCCGCTGCATCTGTTTTTACACCTAGTAACCGAGTGCTCCCCCTTGCCTGTTACCTCCCTTGGGGTTCAACTATCATTACACGAAGAACAAAAGCCCAAACACTGCGGGCGTCATGCTAAAGGCTGGGAAGGTGTACTGTTTTTGTTGGGGATTAGACGAGGATGGTGTATCGTGTGCGACATGGTGTGTCTTACAATCAGGTGGTGTGAAGGTGTACTGTTTTTGTTGAAGATTAGATGCGGATGTTTTATCTTGTGCGACATGGTGTGTCTTACAATCTGGTGGTGTGAAGGTGTACTGTTTTTGTTGGGGATTAGACGCGGATATTTTATCGTGTGCGACACTGTGTGTCTTACAATCAGGTGTGTGAAGGTGTACTGTTTTTGTTGGGGATTAGACGCGGATATTTTATCGTGTGCGACACTGTGTGTCTTACAATCAGGTGGTGTGAAGGTGTACTGTTTTTGTTGGGGATTAGACGCGGATGTTGTATCGTATGCGACATGGTGTGTCTTACAATCAGATGGATCCAACCCGTTACGTCAGCGCTTGTTCGCTGTGCCGCGTGCCGGTATATTACAAGGCGATTGAGCGTTTTGTAATGAGGGGGTAGCGTTAGAGTAAGCAACACCTAGGTCTGTAAGCATTAGGTATTGGTGGCGCTAGATTCGTGTCTACAGGTTAGGTGGAGGAGGAGGAGGTCTTTGCTCCCTCTCTCTCTCTACATACACATATATAAACATATATATATATATATATATATATATATATATATATATATATATATATATATATATATATATATATATATATAAAACAACATATATAAATGCCCCCTCCCCAGGAGCCTTAGATCCGCCACTGGCAACAGACAGATAATTGGGCGTGTCATGATCCCGAGTTTGACAAGTCGTCTCACGTGGCTGCTAGATACAAGTTGGTGGGGGGGGGGGGTCGGGCTGTAGGGATATGGCGGACTTGACCACTTGTTGCATAACTTGTCATCCCAACGGATCAATAGACTTTACCAACTTGACCAAGCTCGGTTAATGTAAGAAAAAAGCTGTTTCACATTTGGAACGTCACAGGTAGCGGGAGGGGTGGTTAGGCTTAACAGTGACGTCATTTTAATGGAACGTGCTGATTTCTTGTCTCATAGTGGGGGGGGGGGGGGTGGTAAGTTGACAAAAAGCTTGACGTAATTATACACCTAAGTGGCAGAACTAATTAGTAATGGGGTCGTTCAATCAACTTTAACGAGATGTTTTATTTAAAGTTCGTTTTCTCAAATTACACATAAATTTGAATTAGACATTAACCTAAATTAGACATAAACTTAAATTAGACGTAAACTTCAATTAGACATAAACTTGAACTAGACATAAACTTGAACTAGACATAAACTTGAACTAGACATAAACTTGAACTAGACATAAACTTGAACTAGACATAAACTTGAACTAGACATAAACTTGAACTAGACATAAACTTGAACTAGACATAAACTTGAACTAGACATAAACTTGAACTAGACATAAACTTGAACTAGACATAAACTTGAACTAGACATAAACTTGAACTAGACATAAACTTGAACTAGACATAAACTTGAACTAGACATAAACTTGAACTAGACATAAACTTGAAATATGAGGAGGTAAAAAAAAAGGTGAAACAGAAATAAATAAAAATTGTGTAGTTCCTTGGTTGCCAACCAACTGTAATGGTTGCCAACCTACTGTAATGGTTGCCAATGTAGAATTGATGTTTTAAAAAACTGAGCTGAAATGTAGAATTGATGTTTTAAAAAACTGAGCTGAAATATGGAATTGATGTTTTTAACATACCCAATTACCGGTGTGGACGACAGAACTTGGAAACGTTGACATCACGTGGTTTGACCGTACGTCTGCTGTAGGCTAAAGCCTATTGTGTGATACAATGTGTGTGTGTGTGTGTGGGGGGGTATTTTTTTCTCCTTTGTTTTTTCCCGAAGGATTCTGTTTCTGAATTAGGCAGTGGCGCAGCTTAGTGGGTCGTCGCTAGATATCAAGTTGTTGCGGGCCTTGACAGCAGGGGAAATAATCCCTACCTTTACTAGACATTCACAACCTCCAACAAAACTCACGATCAACCCAGTCCACGCTTCATCAGCGTTTTTAATGAGAAGTCTTGTCAATAATTCAAGACTGATTTGTTCAAGTGTATTATAAAACTGATAAAACTGCAGTAAAAACAAACTTACAGTTTAGTTTTATAACTCCGCCCTGAGTTACCGTCCTTCAATAATGGCGTTAGCCATGAAGCGAGTTATCTCCCTGTTATAGTGTTAACAGACAACCGTCTGAAGTTAACATCGATCTTGTCTTTTAAATTACACTACACCCGTCGATAATAGGTGTTTTTTTTTACCTTGTTGCATTTAGACTACATGGGCTATAGGTATTGTGTAAGTGGGTGGGTGTGTGTGTGTGGGTGGTTTGTAACAACGTGCGATTGAAAGGGGATGTATATTTATTGACGTCACATCCCGTGATAGTGGGGGGGGGGGGGGGGTTAATCTGATGGTGTTGAGCTACGGGGTGTTGTTGACGTCTACGATAAGATGTAGAGAGGTAGTGGGGATTCTTATAACAAAAATTGTCCATGATTCCGTGAACAGAATATGGAGTGAGGACATTAAAGGACGTCTTCTTTCACATTGAGAATGAGTTTATCAACATGGCGACCTCGCCTAGATTGCCATACATTGGCCATACAGACTCCCCCTACCCCCGGGTATGTGACATCTCCCCCCCCCCCCAGCTTTAAAAAAAATTTGAACCTCTCCCCTCAGGTTTCTGTGACATCCCCCCCCCCAGCTTTAAAAAATATTGAACCTCTCCCCTCAGGTTTCTGAGACACCCCCCCCCCCAGCTTTAAAAAAATATTGAACCTCTCCCCTCAGGTTTCTGAGACACCCCCCCCCCCCAGCTTTAAAAAATATTGAACCTCTCCCCTCAGGTTTCTGTGACATCTCCCCCCACCAGCTTTAAAAAATATTGAACCTCTCCCCTCAGGTTTCTGAGACACCCCCCCCCCAGCTTTAAAAAATATTGAACCTCTCCCCTCAGGTTTCTGAGACACCCCCCCCCAGCTTTAAAAAATATTGAACCTCTCCCCTCAGGTTTCTGAGACACCCCCCCCCAGCTTTAAAAAATATTGAACCTCTCCCCTCAGGTTTCTGAGACACCCCCCCCCCAGCTTTAAAAAAATATTGAACCTCTCCCCTCAGGTTTCTGAGACACCCCCCCCCCAGCTTTAAAAAAATATTGAACCTCTCCCCTCAGGTTTCTGAGACACCCCCCCCCCCCAGCTTTAAAAAATATTGAACCTCTCCCCTCAGGTTTCTGAGACACCCCCCCCCCCAGCTTTAAAAAAATATTGAACCTCTCCCCTCAGGTTTCTGAGACACCCCCCCCAGCTTTAAAAAATATTGAACCTCTCCCCTCAGGTTTCTGAGACACCCCCCCCCCCCCCAGCTTTAAAAAAATATTGAACCTCTCCCCTCAGGTTTCTGAGACACCCCCCCCCCCCCCAGCTTTAAAAAAATATTGAACCTCTCCCCTCAGGTTTCTGAGACACCCCCCCCCCCCCCCAGCTTTAAAAAAATATTGAACCTCTCCCCTCAGGTTTCTGAGACATCTCCCCCCCCCCCCCAGCTTTAAAAAAAATATTGAACCTCTCCCCTCAGGTTTCTGTGACATCCCCCCCCCCCCAGCTTTAAAAAATATTGAACCTCTCCCCTCAGGTTTAAAAAAATATTGAACCTCTCCCCTCAGGTTTCTGAGACACCCCCCCCCCCCAGCTTTAAAAAAATATTGAACCTCTCCCCTCAGGTTTCTGAGACATCCCCCCCCCCCAGCTTTAAAAAATATTGAACCTCTCCCCTCAGGGTTCTGAGACATCTCCCCCCACCAGCTTTAAAAAATATTGAACCTCTCCCCTCAGGTTTCTGAGACATCTCCCCCCCCAGCTTTAAAAAATATTGAACCTCTCCCCTCAGGTTTCTGAGACATCTCCCCCCCCAGCTTTAAAAAATATTGAACCTCTCCTTTCAGGTTTCTGAGACATCTCCCCCCCCCAGCTTTAAAAAAATATTGAACCTCTCCCCTCAGGTTTCTGAGACACCCCCCCCCCAGCTTTAAAAAATATTGAACCTCTCCCCTCAGGTTTCTGAGACATCTCCCCCCCCAGCTTTAAAAAAATATTGAACCTCTCCCCTCAGGTTTCTGAGACACCCCCCCCCCCCCAGCTTTAAAAAATATTGAACCTCTCCCCTCAGGTTTCTGAGACATCCCCCCCCAGCTTTAAAAAATATTGAACCTCTCCCCCTCAGGTTTTAAAAAATATTGAACCTCTCCCCTCAGGTTTTAAAAAATATTGAACCTCTTCCCTCAGGTTTTAAAAAATATTGAACCTCTCCCCTCAGGTTTTAAAAAATATTGAACCTCTCCCCTCAGGTTTTAAAAAATATTGAACCTCTCCCCTCAGGTTTTAAAAAATATTGAACCTCTCCCCTCAGGTTTTAAAAAATATTGAACCTCTCCCCTCAGGTTTTAAAAAATATTGAACCTCTCCCCTCAGGTTTTAAAAAATATTGAACCTCTCCCCTCAGGTTTTAAAAAATATTGAACCTCTCCCCTCAGGTTTTAAAAAATATTGAACCTCTCCCCTCAGGTTTTAAAAAATATTGAACCTCTCCCCTCAGGTTTCTGAGACACCTGTGGAGTATGACAGAAAGAGCACACTATGTAGACAGCGATTTACTGGTCCAATGTCAAGGCCACGTCAAGCACGTGACTTTGAACCGGCCTCACGCGCTCAATGCCTTGAACTTGTCTATGGTGAGGGACCTGACGTCCAATCTCCTGGTGAGTCACATTTTGTGTGCACATTTTAAATCTTATCAATCTCTTGGTGAGTCACATTTTGTGTACACATTTTAAATCATATCAATCTCTTGGTGAGTCAGATTTTGTGTGCACATTTTAAATCACATGAAAGTCCTAGTGAGTCACATTTTGTGTGCACATTTTAAATCATATCAATCTCTTGGTGAGTCACATTTTGTGTGCACATTTTAAATCTTATCAATCTCTTGGTGAGTCACATTTTGTGTACACATTTTAAATCATATCAATCTCTTGGTGAGTCAGATTTTGTGTGCACATTTTAAATCACATGAAAGTCCTAGTGAGTCACATTTTGTGTGCACATTTTAAATCATATCAATCTCCTGGTGAGTCAGATTTTGTGTGTACAATTTAAATTATATCAATCTCTTGGTGAGTCACATTTTGTGTGCACATTTTAAATCATATCAATCTCTTGGTGAGTCACATTTTGTGTGCACATTTTAAATCATATCACTCTCCTGGTGAGTCACATTTTGTGTGCACATTTTAAATAATATCAATCTCTTGGTGAGTCACATTTTGTGTGCACATTTTAAATCATATCACTCTCCTGGTGAGTCACATTTTGTGTGCACATTTTAAATCATATCAATCTCTTGGTGAGTCAGATTTTGTGTGCACATTTTAAATCATATCAATCTCCTGGTGAGTCAGATTTTGTGTGCACATTTTAAATCATATCAATGCTCTGAAGGGGAAAGGTGTGAATAGGTCCTCTCAATGTATCCACTAAGATGGCTGGATTACATTGTGTCAGTGGCCTGAGTTTTCTATTGTGTTGTTGTGTATTGATTTGACCAATGACTCTTGCTGCTGTGTATTGATTTGATCAATGACTCTTGCTGTTGTGTATTGATTTGATCAATGACTCTTGCTGTTGTGTATTGATTTGACCAATGACTCTTGCTGTTGTGTATTGATTTGACCAATGACTCTTGCTGTTGTGTATTGATTTGACCAGTGACTCTTGCTGTTGTGTATTGATTTGTCCAATGACTCTTGCTGTTGTGTATTGATTTGACCAATGACTCTTGCTGCTGTGTATTGATTTGACCAATGACTCTTGCTGTTGTGTATTGATTTGACCAGTGACTCTTGCTGTTGTGTATTGATTTGACCAGTGACTGTTGCTGTTGTGTATTGATTTGACCAGTGACTCTTGCTGTTGTGTATTGATTTGACCAGTGACTCTTGCTAATGTGTATTGATTTGACCAGTGACTCTTGCTGTTGTGTATTGATTTGACCAGTGACTCTTGCTGTTGTGTATTGATTTGATCAATGACTCTTGCTGTTGTGTATTGATTTGACCAATGACTCTTGCTGTTGTGTATTGATTTGACCAATGACTCTTGCTGTTGTGTATTGATTTGACCAGTGACTCTTGCTGTTGTGTATTGATTTGTCCAATGACTCTTGCTGTTGTGTATTGATTTGACCAGTGACTCTTGCTGTTGTGTATTGATTTGTCCAATGACTCTTGCTGTTGTGTATTGATTTGACCAATGACTCTTGCTGCTGTGTATTGATTTGACCAATGACTCTTGCTGTTGTGTATTGATTTGACCAGTGACTCTTGCTGTTGTGTATTGATTTGACCAGTGACTCTTGCTGTTGTGTATTGATTTGACCAGTGACTCTTGCTGTTGTGTATTGATTTGACCAGTGACTCTTGCTGTTGTGTATTGATTTGACCAGTGACTCTTGCTAATGTGTATTGATTTGACCAGTGACTCTTGCTGTTGTGTATTGATTTGACCAGTGACTCTTGCTGTTGTGTATTGATTTGACCAGTGACTCTTGCTAATGTGTATTGATTTGACCAGTGACTCTTGCTGTTGTGTATTGATTTGACCAGTGACTCTTGCTGTTGTGTATTGATTTGACCAGTGACTCTTGCTGTTGTGTATTAATTTGACCAATGACTCTTGTTTTCAGTATTGGAAAAATGACCCTGGCACCAGTGTGGTCACCCTAATGGGGGCAGGGGACAAGGCGTTTTGTTCAGGGGGAGATCTCAAATGTGAGTACTGGGGAGGGTGAGACCGTGGGTGTAAGTATTTGAAGGGGGGGGGGGGGGGGAAGATCTCAAGTGTAATTTAAGGCTGGGGGGGTGGGTTGAAGATTTGTAGAGAAAAATTGAACCCATACAAAAGCAACAATGGTGTAATAGCTGGGGATAAGTCACTTATCTATTTTTAGACAAGATTCACTTGATATATCTATAGACTGTTTATGTAGGTTACATTGCATACAAGTATTTTATGTATTTTGTATTTTTATTACAAAAATGCTACAGCTGTGTTTATTTCATCCTATTTTGTTTAGCCATCACATTCTCATCCAAACAAGGTGGAAACTATGGCCAACAGTTTTTCTATGAAGAGTTCACCCTCAATCACATCATAGGTATGTTTTCCTGCTGATTGTAGGCTGATTTTTTGTTAGCCTGTCTTACCAGGATAGATAACTCTCCTTTAACAAGGGAGCTAATTTTAAAATTGGATTCAGGGGAACTAACTTTGTCAATGGTATCAATAGAGCCAACTTTTTAACTTTAAAAAAAAAACAAAAAAAACCTATAATGTTCAGGTTTAAGCAATCCCAGTAAGATTTCAGCTTAAAATATAATGGTATCATTGTTTGCAATGCTTTTTTTTTCTTTTCTGTGTATATGTGCTAATTTCAGACTTTTAAATTTCCAAATATGACAAGACTAATTCCATTTCTCAATTACAAAATATCTTGCTTCTTTTTAGGCACCTTCCCAAAGCCACTGATATCAATCATGAATGGAATCACATTTGGAGGGGTGAGTGTTAAAATAAAGAAAGTGGGGTGGGGGGCTACTCTAATCCTCTTGATAATGCCATGAACTATTTAACATGTTATGGTTTGTGCAAATAGTGATCACATTCTTTTTCTATGTCAAGTCGCTGCCTAAACAAACTGTTAGCATTAACATTTTAACATTTAGAAAAATGGGTAAAGAATAACTATGTACAAATAAATGTAAGCACAACTTTTAAAAATGTGTAAGCATTATGCTGTTCAGATGAAATTGTGTACAACTGAACAAAATGTGTATATAATTGTATGAATATTATTGTGTTCAGATGAAGTTGTGTACAGCTGAACAAAATGTGTATATTTGGTTTCTCTGTCTCAGGCTGCAGGTTTAAGTGTCATTGGTCGGTTCTGTGTCGCTACGGAAAAAACAGTTTTCTGCATGCCTGAATGTGCCATAGGTTTGTTGGTCGTTCTAGTTACCCACATCACAATATTTCTTTAAACTAACTGATTTATGTTAAATATCTTTAAAACAGTTTTTTAAAAATCATTTAAAAATATTTTTGCTACTTATTGAAAGTCAAATGTAGTTTTGGTTCAGACCAGTTTCAACAAAATTTCACATGAAATCTGAGTTCAACCACATATTTATTCTCTTTAGGCTTATTCCCTGATGTTGGATCTGGCTATTATCTCTCACGTTTACCTGGCAACTTGGGCTTATTTTTAGGACTCACAGGTCATAGGTTGAAAGGTCGTGATGTTGTTAGAGCAGGGTTATCTTCTCATTACATAGATCATGCCCATGTAAGAAATTTTACTTTGTGGAAACTATCTGTAGTTAGAGTTAAATAGCTGTAGTTAGTGTTAGACAGCTGTAGTTAGTGTTAGACAGCTGCAGTTAGAGTCAGACAGCTGTAGTTAGAGTCAGACAGTTGTAGTTAGAGTCAGACAGCTGTAGTTAGAGTCAGCTGTAGTTAGAGTCAGACAGCTGTAGTTAGAGTCAGTCAGCTGTAGTTAGAGTCAGTTGTAGTTAGAGTCAGACAGCTGTAGTTAGAGTCAGACAGCTGTAGTTAGAGTCAGACAGCTGTAGTTAGAGTCAGACAGCTGTAGTTAGAGTCAGCTGTAGTTAGAGTCAGACAGCTGTAGTTAGAGTCAGACAGCTGTAGAGTCAGACAGCTGTAGTTAGAGTCAGACAGCTGTAGTTAGAGTCAGACAGCTGTAGTTAGAGTCAGACAGCTGTAGTTAGAGTCAGACAGCTGTAGAGTCAGACAGCTGTAGTTAGAGTCAGACAGCTGTAGTTAGAGTCAGACAGCTGTAGTTAGAGTCAGACAGCTGTAGTTAGAGTCAGACAGCTGTAGAGTCAGACAGCTGTAGAGTCAGACAGCTGTAGTTAGAGTCAGACAGCTGTAGTTAGAGTCAGACAGCTGTAGTTAGAGTCAGACAGCTGTAGTTAGAGTCAGACAGCTGTAGAGTCAGACAGCTGTAGTTAGAGTCAGACAGCTGTAGTTAGAGTCAGACAGCTGTAGTTAGAGTCAGACAGCTGTAGAGTCAGACAGCTGTAGTTAGAGTCAGTCAGCTGCAGTTAGAGTCAGACAGCTGTAGTTAGAGTCAGACAGCTGTAGTTAGAGTCAGACAGCTGTAGTTAGAGTCAGACAGCTGTAGTTAGAGTCAGACAGCTGTAGTTAGAGTCAGACAGCTGTAGTTAGAGTCAGACAGGTGTAGTTAGAGTCAGACAGCTGTAGAGTCAGACAGCTGTAGTTAGAGTCAGACAGCTGTAGTTAGAGTCAGACAGCTGTAGTTAGAGTCAGACAGCTGTAGTTAGAGTCAGACAGCTGTAGTTAGAGTCAGACAGCTGTAGAGTCAGACAGCTGTAGTTAGAGTCAGACAGCTGTAGTTAGAGTCAGACAGCTGTAGTTAGAGTCAGACAGCTGTAGTTAGAGTCAGACAGCTGTAGTTAGAGTCAGACAGCTGTAGTTAGAGTCAGACAGCTGTAGTTAGAGTCAGACAGCTGTAGTTAGAGTCAGACAGCTGTAGTTAGAGTCAGACAGCTGTAGTTAGAGTCAGACAGCTGTAGTTAGAGTCAGACAGCTGTAGTTAGAGTCAGTCAGCTGTAGTTAGAGTCAGTCAGCTGTAGTTAGAGTCAGACAGCTGTAGTTAGAGTCAGACAGCTGTAGTTAGAGTCAGACAGCTGTAGTTAGAGTCAGACAGCTGTAGTTAGAGTCAGACAGCTGTAGTTAGAGTCAGACAGGTGTAGTTAGAGACAGCTGTAGTAAGAGTCAGACAGCTGTAGTTAGAGTCAGACAGCTGTAGTTAGAGTCAGACAGCTGTAGTTAGAGTCAGACAGCTGTAGTTAGAGTCAGACAGCTGTAGTTAGAGTCAGACAGCTGTAGAGTCAGTCAGCTGTAGTTAGAGTCAGACAGCTGTAGTTAGAGTCAGACAGCTGTAGTTAGAGTCAGACAGCTGTAGTTAGAGTCAGCTGTAGTTAGAGTCAGACAGCTGTAGTTTGAGTCAGTCAGGTGTAGTTACAGTCAGACAGCTGTAGTTAGAGTCAGACAGCTGTAGTTAGAGTCAGCTGTAGTTAGAGTCAGACAGCTGTAGTTTGAGTCAGTCAGGTGTAGTTACAGTCAGACAGCTGTAGTTAGAGTCAGACAACTGTAGTTAGAGTCAGTCAGCTGTAGAGTCAGTCAGCTGTAGTTAGAGTCAGATAGCTGTAGTTAGAGTCAGTCAGCTGTAGTTAGAGTCAGTCAGCTGTAGTTAGAGTCAGACAGCTGTAGTTAGAGTCAGACACCTGAAAGTTATTTCCCCTGTCTTAGATACCTCTGTTAGAAGAAGCTTTGGAGAACCTCCCACACCCGGTCTCCATGGAGACAGTGGATAAAGTGTTGACTGCTTTTCAGGAAAAGGTAACTCTCATTTGTACATTTTTCTGGTTACAGCTATTACAGCTACATACTTAAATATATCGATGGGATCATTTATATTTAATTATAATCTCTTTTATTGTGCACTGATAATTGTTTAAAATTTAATTATAGTTTTAAGTTGACATATCTGTTTTTTTAATTTATCCTTTCTTGTGGTAATATTCTTAGTTAAAAGATAAGTTAAAAACGTAAGAAGAAAATTTGAAACAGCGTTAAATTTTGTTTCTTTACCAGAGTGAAACAAAGTTCCCAGATAAATTTTCTCTAGAAGAACACAGGCAGCAGATTGAGGATTGTTTCACAGCTGAATCTGTTGAGGAGATTGTAGAGAACCTCCAGCAAGATGGCTCAGAATGGGCCATGAAGCAGCTCAGTGCATTGGACAAAATGGTGAGCCAGGGTACACAGGTGTTAGCTCAGTGCATTGGACAAAATGGTGAGCCAGAGTACACAGGTTTTAGCTCAGTGCATTGGACAAAATGGTGAGCCAGGGTACACAGGTTTTAGCTCAGTGCATTGGACAAAATGGTGAGCCAGGGTACACAGGTTTTAGCTCAGTGCATTGGACAAAATGGTGAGCCAGGGTACACAGGTTTTAGCTCAACACAGCGTAAGGGTAGCATTACACAGGTTTTAGCTCAATACAGCGTAAGGGTAGCATTACACAGGTTTTAGCTCAACACAGTGGAGGGGCAGGATTGGCTGCTTCATGGCGGATTCTTTTCTAGAAGATAACTGGGTTCACCATGGACCTTCAGTATTTATCAAGCTACTGGGTTCACCATGGACCTTCAGTATTTATCAAGCTACTGGGTTCACCATGGACCTTCAGTATTTATCAAGCTATTGGGTTCACCATGGACCTTCAGTATTTATCAAGCTACTGGGTTCACCATGGACCTTCAGTATTTATCAAGCTATTGGGTTCACCATGGACCTTCAGTATTTATCAAGCTACTGGGTTCACCATGGACCTTCAGTATTTATCAAGCTACTGGGTTCACCATGGACCTTCAGTATTTATCAAGCTACTGGGTTCACCATGGACCTTCAGTATTTATCAAGCTACTGGGTTCACCATGCACCTTCAGTATTTATCAAGCTACTGGGTTCACCATGGACCTTCAGTATTTATCAAGCTACTGGGTTCACCATGGACCTTCAGTATTTATCAAGCTACTGGGTTCACCATGGACCTTCAGTATTTATCAAGCTACTGGGTTCACCATGCACCTTCAGTATTTATCAAGCTACTGGGTTCACCATGCACCTTCAGTATTTATCTATCTTAAGACTACAACTTGTTGTACCTCATTCTTACATCAAAATAAACTAAAAATATTATGTGCTAACAATTTTAAAAAGCCACTCTTATGCAGATTTCTCCACTTATCCTGAAAGATAACTTTATGTTCCTAGAGCCCCTCCTAAGATAACTTTATAATCTCACAGCCACACATAAGATAACTTTATATTTTCAGAGCCCCACATAAGATAACTTGATATTCTAAGAGCCCCATGTAAGATAACTTTATATTCTCAGAGCCCCACATAAGATAACTTTATGTTCCTAGAGCACCACATAAGATAACTATATTCTTAGAGCCCCACATAAGATAACTTTATATTTTCAGAGCCCCACATCTCTTAAGATAACTTTTCGCCTGCTGAAAGAAGGTGTGAACCTTAGCCTATCGCAGTCACTGTGCACTGAGTACAGACTGACACAGAGGTGTGTGGCAGACCTGGATTTCCATGAAGGCATTCGAGCAGGTACAATTTATCTTACTTTAACTGCAACTTTGTGCAAACAAGATTAAAGGTCAAATGTTTTACATTTAGTCAAATAGAAAAGCTAACTATAGCTTCACTTAAAGTCCAGTGTTTAGATTCTGTCTGACTCTATCCAGATGTAATGAGTACCAGAATTAGCAAATGTTGACAGCTGGCCATTCAACTATCTAAAAACTGAACCAAACACAAACAATAACCTGAGCTTTAAATGGATTGGCTAACAAAATGTTCCTGTTGTGACAAAATTTGAGACAACAATTTTTTTTCCCACAGTTATATTAGATAAAGACCACTGCCCAAGCTGGACACCTTCAACATTAGAGGAAGTCACTGAACAAAAACTGGATTACTATTTTTCACCCTTGTCACATGACAAAGAACTGATATTGCCAGAAACAGTTTCTTGACTTCAATAGTTTTTAGTGCCAGCATTTTATAAAATCAAGTCTTGGAAACCCGTAGCAGTTTACTACTAGAACTTTTGTACATATCTTTAAAAAAATCAGTTTGCTAAAATTTCAGTGCAAGTTCAATCAATTGGTAATTCCACCTTTATTTTTATTTATTGTTGTTTTACTGATGAAAATTTCAGTTGAAACTTTTCATGACATAATTATGTTGTTGCTGCCCAATATGTCCCAGAGGGTGACTTTAAAAATGACAACTTTACTTTGTTTAGAGTAGCTGCCCATGTCTATGAATGATTGCAATAATCTTGAGACATTGTTATCAACTATTTAGTACAAAGAATTTGTTGAACCTTGTTGATGTTGATCTAAGGGAGGCTACTGTTCAAGATAGTGCGTAGCTTCCCCTGTCTATGAATGATTCTATTTATCATGAGACTTAACCTTCAACCAAGAATGTATCTAGGTTAATTTTTAATTGATCAAAGGGACGCTATTCTAAAATGTTGTTAGTAGCTTCCCCTGTCTATGAATGATTCCATTAATTGGCCTATCATGAGACATTCATTTATAAATTACAACCTTTTATTTAGATCTGGCAGTGCAATTATTAAAACCAGAAAATCAATTTATAATTCAGATTTTCAAAACCGGTGAACAAACTTTTTAAGAATTTTTTTTATCTAAATGTGTGCCATATATTCATCATTTTGAATTTACTTTGTTGGACTTTTATTTAAAAATAAAACAGCTGGTAATTTTAAAAACCTTTGACCATTTGTTGATCCACACATTCAAGTAATCTTTTTCCTGACTTTTTAAAAATCTATTGTCATATGAGATTTCTACACATATTTTTTCTCTCATTAACTTATCCTAAAATTGTATTGGGTTGATCACAAAAAATGGTTGCAAATTAAAGGTCCTCATTATGTGACAAAACTCTGCCTGGCTGAAATCTCTCCACGTTTTTTTGATTGGCCAACTAGGCTTGACACACGGGTCCAACTCGGCTTGCTACATTGGCCCTACTAGTTGCTTGTTATTACACACCGGTGCAACTGGATACACACTGCTATGTTGTTGACTATGATGCTTACATTCCCCTAGATTTTTGTTTATAGAACTCCCTTTATATATAAAAAAACATTTTTTTTAGAAACGATCTTGTGATGAAGTCTAAACATTCTATAAACAAACAGAATTTATTTATCAAAGAATATTACTTTTTTGAAGTGTTTTAATTTATTTTAACCAACGTATTATAAAGATATTTTAATAAAATTGAGTAATCCTGTTTTCACCATGTATTTGTTTTCTTATGTAATATTTTAGGTGAAAAATTCAGGAAAGGTTGTGTAAGTTTATTTCGTTGCTGTGACTGCACCTGTATGCCATGGTGTTGATGTAACTTGATCTATTGATGATTTGAATTTTGTTTTGCTGCATGTTATAAAGTAAAAAAAAATTTACAAGGCTAAAATTTTTGTTACGGGGGGGGGGGGGGGGGGGGGGGGGGATAGGATTGAAAAATAACAAAAACAGTAAGTTTGTTCATATTTTATTTTATATATAAATTATCTCCCATGTGTTGTGAATACAAACATGGGAGGCAACACTCTTTTCATTCAAATAAACACTCGCTTCTCTTTTAAAAAGGACAGACATCGTATCCAGACATTTTTTTCCACAGGATGCCTTGTAACATGAACTTATTCTGGCAGTAAAGAGCAATGTTGGATAACAAACTCTCCCAACACAATTTTCACATTTCAAACATTTACACCAAGAGCAGGGCTGGGTAGCAAGGAGAAAACAATCCATGGCCCCAAACTTTGTTTCTATTACATGTATAGAAAATGTATAGCAAGTCAATCAAGTGAATGTCAGTCCCAAACTTTGTTTCTATTACATGTATAGAAATGTATAGCAAGTCAGTCAAGTGAATGTCAGTCATATAAATAGTGAGATGATTTAAAATGCCTTGCCACACAGTCCCCATACAGTCTACACAAAATGGTCCAGTGACTTAGTAGATACAAAAAACTCATTTCAGTAGAGACCACTTGATCTGGTCTTTGGCAGACTGCAGCACCTGTGGAGAGATGATGTTTTGGTGAGTGCTGGGACATCAAGATATATTTTGAATACATTGATATTACTATACAGCTCAGCAAACCAGTGAGATGATCAAACCAGCAGAAACTTTTTTTTACTGCTATTTTGGTAGAGTTCAAATTAGTATTAGGAAAACATCTTCTGGCCTTGAATGTATATAAGTGTTCTCAAATAATTGAGTGTTCAGAGAACATTAGAAGCCATCTATTTCTGCTTCTATGTTCTCTGTTAAACTCTTTGACAAACTATGTGCTTCTACTTATAAAACATGTAGTCAGTCAATGGCAATACTACCCACCATACCCCTAGACATTTCTACCAGACAATGCTACAACAATGTATGAAAAATGATGCATGTCATCAGATGATTAAATTACCAGATTTCACATATTGTCAGCAGCTAAACCAAAATTTAACCCACATTTCATCTATAAGTTATCAAACCAATAAAACAAAAATGGTCAAATAAGCAAGGCCACATACAAGGCAAAATTCCCAGCTCAATTCACATGCAATATTTAAGTAAAGAAAAAGATACGATGATAAAAATACACAGAGACACAGGGTACAGATGCACTAAATGGGTGATTATGTTCTGAGCTATGGGGTCATGCTGTTCTAGTCACTTTAGGATGACTGGCACTAGAGTTTTTGTCAACTCTATTTGATTCAAATGATTTGTGATTGGATAATTTTCACAGCAGATTTTAATTAAAACATATCGGGGAAAAAATAGTCCTGTACAAAGTAAATAAACACTCTTGTGCTAAAACCCATTTCTGTTGCCGCAGCTCTTGATGTTTGGTAAGGACTTAAGTGCTCAAAAAAAAAAACATAAAACAAGTGGCAGCAAAATTACATTTAGGGCTAATTCTTCAGCCTTAAGCAACTATACACAGACAAATATAGAAAACAATTAGCATCTGATGAGAAAAACCTGGGCCATAGGAACACATTCAATCTGGGCCCTAGCAACACATTGAACCTTGGTCCTAGCAACACATTGAACCTTGGTCCTAGCAACACATTAAACCTGAGCCATAGCAACACATAGGACCTGGGCCATAGCAACACATTGGACCTGGGCCATAGGAACAAATTGAACCTGGGCCATAGCAACACATTGAACCTGGGCCATAGGAACACATAGGACCTGGGCCATAGCAACACATAGGACCTGAGCCATATTGAACCTGGGCCATAGGAACAAATTCAACCTGGGCCATAGGAACACATATGACCTAACAATACTTACCTCCAACTTTTTTGTCAATTGCTACAACAAAATGTTAGCCTTAAAATCTCATGACATAAATATTCCAGTAGAAAGTCTCCTTCCCTGGAGGACTAGGTACCATTGTGTTTTATGTTCACAGAAAAGCTCAAGTGCTAACCCAAGTCTTATGAGAGGGATGAAAGGAACTCTACAGACCACTGAGTTGAATGGGGCAATGAATGAGATATCAGAGAAACATATCAACATCCACTCTACTACACCTGTACTAAAAAAACAGCTTTTAAAAAACACCTTTAAAAAAACAAAACCTTTCAGTACCCCAGACTTTGATCAGGAATTATTCATTAACAACAAATATCCTTACAAGAAATGATGTTAGTTGTATATATACTCCAACCATAAATAATTTAATCAAACCACTGTTGAGATAAAGTAGATGGGATCAAATAAACCTCCAGCTAAAAACAGTAAGCTGTACATATGAGGTGATAAGTTATAGAAGCAAGGCTTAGATTTTGGGAAGATTAAAAAAAATAGATCAGCCTCATGGGGGAGAGATGAACAAGGATATGGCAGATGGAGCATAAAGTACCATGGCTGGCCCCACTTAACGCTCGTATACTTTACCCTATCCGTGGCTGCGGACACCTGCTGGCTATATTTGGCCGTAATCTTAAAAACATTTACCAAATAATCAGTTCATTGCCACTTAAAAACATTTACCAGATAATCAGTTCATTGCCACTTAAAAACATTTACCAGATAATCAGTTCATAGCCACTTAAAAACATTTACCACATAATCAGTTCATTGCCACTTAAAAATAAGACACTCTAAATTGGCAATAACTTTCTCATCCTAATGTGAATGTATATAAACATTGTTAGAACGTGCTGTGATGAGCTTGTATGTAAAACTGTTGTAATGTAACCAGCTGTGTTTAAAAACTCACCAGTGATGGAAATAAAATTATTCTAGAAAAGTCTGGGTAGTGTTTTTAAATTATCAACTGATAACAAAGAAAAAGTGCTGATGGGATGAGTAAAATCACACTTGTAGTTGTAAGCTACCCCTAACTCTGCTAGCTACTGGCACTGTTGAAATTAGAAAGCAAACGAACCTGTGCCATCGTCTGTTCTCCCAGTGGAATATCTTCATTTCTTATTGCAACTTTCTGTACAATGGCGTTACTGTCTGCCTCCAATACAATCCTGGGAGAATAAAATATAATAATTATTCTGTGCCCCACATCCTCAACCAATCAATGATCTTCCATATACAAGCAATACATTTTGTGGGAGCTGCCTAGAAAAGTCATATAAGCCCCCCCCCCCCCACCACATCCCACACAGACCTACTTACCCCCCATCACAGAGTTCATCAGCTGCCAAGAACACAGCATCTAAATTGTCCAGCAGTGCCCTTTTCTCAACATTCTTCCGCAATATTTGGCTGATTGAGTCATAGAATGCATTCAGAACACTGGCTAGAATGAGCTGCAATAAAGAAGAAAAAACTCTAGATTCGAGGCAGTGTTCCATCAATCCACACAACTGATTTGTAGTATGTAGCTACTCTCATGTCTCTTGTTTGTTCTCATATCACCAAAATAATAACATTTTCAACTTCATGGATCACTTCCATGGTAATCCTGTATTAGAAAATGTTTCACAATCATAGCTGTATTTTAAGTGGAAAGAAAACATGGCTATTATGAATTTATCTAACCCACAGAGTAGTATAATGATGGTGGCTGAAGTAGATACTTGAAACCTAAGCTTGGAGCTAGGATTAAATTGATAAGTGACACAATATCAATAGTTACATGCTAGACAGTAGCCCAGAGGCCTGACACAATATCAACTGGTTGCTTACCTCATTCTCCATGGAGGAGCCCACAACATAGAAGAAAAGATCCACATTGCTCTTGTACACACAAGTCAGGCCTTCAAACATGATGATTTCAGCTGCAAATTATCAAACTTTAGGATTTCAGCTGAACAAAAAATGGCAAACATGGAAATAATGGCTGCTAAATACACACTTATCACTGGGGTTTTGTGTGTGTTTCTACAGGTAATTTGACTGAATAAATTATTGGCTGGTTTACCATTTGCTCTGTGTGTCTTGTTGAACAAATTCTTTTCAAAAGCTTTTTGATCTTTTGCAGTTGGAAATGTTTCATCATAGTACTTGAAAATAAGAAGACAAGACAACATTTTAAAAATCTTGTTTTGAGTTTAGAAAAGCTAAATAGAATACTAGCTCAATAGTCTATGAAACATCACAAAAAATGTAATTACAAGTTTCCAGCTAAGTCTGCTAAGTATTTGAAAAATTAATATAAGAATACTAATAGCTAAATCTGCTGTATATAATATTTATAATTTGGTTATTCAGTCCTTACCTTTGCCAAGAGTCTGTTACCGTCATTGTCAAGAATGGCAATAGCCTTGATAGAGTAAAGAGATGGTTCCTGTAAAGAAAGGCAATACTCTAACTAATAAAGTGACTGCTGGGAAAAAGATTTTTTGCCCCAGCGTCTCCACCTTGTCGGCAAAAGACAGTTCTGCGCATGCGCAATGACCTTAATAGCTGAGCTAGTGTTAAGGATAGGGTTAGGATTGGGGTTAGGGCTAGGGTTCTGCGGTTGGTTTTGTAAACAGACACATGCACAGTACCATCAAAAACATCGCAGTGAAGGCAAGTCGTAGTTTCTCTCCATTGCATGTGTATCTATTTCCTGCTAGACGCTAGAATAGGGCTTTTTTTCTGATTCATTTTTTAAATTTTATATTTCTGTCGTAATTTAGATCTAGATCCCAAATTTTTTTAGAAAAAAAAATCTACCTGCTACAGCACTACACTGATTTTATGATTGTTACTTGTAGATTCTACAGTAGAATTTCAGACTAGATTTCACTAAATCTCGATGTAGATTCTAATTCTAGATCGAGAATTTGACTCATCCATCACTCGATCTGAGAAAAATCTTCCTCGATGATCATCATATGCCTATGCCTCCGAACACGCCGATGAGGGAAAATTGCTGAAAACTAGTCTAATTAACGCCAGAATATTTTTGTTTTTAAAAATAAATATGATTATTTTAGGAATGTAGATAATTTAATAATATTTAACATTTTCAGTTAATAACTGTTACTTACAAGTAGACCACCGTCCATGTTGATTGTTGTTAGTTTTTGACGTGTAGTATCGGAACGGAGTAAATAACAGAAGAGCACTAACACTAATTTGTAGTATGCCTATGTAAATAATATTGAAATAGCTCTCTCTAAAGCACCATTTTAATGAAGAAATAATTTAAAATAAATTACTATGTTAAGATGTTTTTAATATCAATAATAAACAGTTCTAAAGTGACGAGAGAGAAGGAAAGAGGGAAGGGGGGGGGGGGGGGGGGGGAAGAGAGAGAGAAAGGGATGCAAATGTTGCCGGTGGGTTTTTAAAAATACAGTACCTCGTCAACTATTAAACAAAATAAAAAATCTTTCGGTTTAATAATAAAATATTATTATTTTTACTTATCTAAGCGTTGAATATAATACTTAATTATGTCACTGCAAAAAAATAAATATTTACCAACGTATAGGCCGAAGTTTTCTTTAAAAATGAATTGCGTGTACTGTTCTTATGCTACAAGTTCTGCAGATAGGTCACTATGTCATCAATTAGTTTTCAGCTGGTTTGACCAACAAACAGGCTCGTCTCTCTGATTGTGATGTATCAACAATTTAACAAATAAACATAGATCTACCCGGATTAAAAAAAAATCTTTATTTGCTTGTAGAACAAAACCTTTTTTTTCATGTGTATCAACCGAAGCGATTTGTAATACTAAGAGATGACGAGCAGGCAATTCAGAGTTTCTTCCAAGGGAGGAGGGGGGGGGGGGGGGGGAAGAGAGATAGGGGGGGGGGGGCGGAGCTCCGAACGAAATAGAATTTATATAGAAATGATATACTTTTACTAGTGTTCGCCCCCCCCCCCCCTCGAAAAATTCCAAGTGCTCCCCGCATTCGGAGAAAAAAGTCTGAAAGAAACACTGAGGTCACTGCATACAAGTGAGTTAATTTAGTTGTGTGGGGGCGAAAATTCCTAACGACCCTGCAGTCCCATTCAAATAAGCCTCGTCAAACACTTCAACTCTAATCATTAATTAAACTGGCAAAAAGCATTTATCTTAGATATATTTTGCAATTTTTTGTATTGGTGTCACCCCCTAAATGGTGTCACCCGGTGCGGCCCGCACCCCTGCCCCGCGACACCCTATACTAAGGGGTTAATAACTGAACGATTTTACTCCTTAATTTATTAAAGGGACGTAACATCGTCAGGAATTTAAACTTTTAATTTCCTCCCTTTTTCAGCTTTTTATAAAAATTCTTTATTCTAATAAATATAGCACCAGATTAAAAAAAAATAATTGTTTTAACTCTACACAGTGAGATTACACAGTGAGATTACACACAAACCTGCATGGGGGGAGTTAAGTTTAAGTTTTAAGGTGATTTATTACAATCCGCAAACGTTTATTTTTAAATCAATGTTTTTCTGTGTACTCGTGTGGTTAACTTATGAGACGGAAGTCGAGCACTGGCCCAGGATGAACGAGCCTTTACGTCTTATGTGTCCGGCTAAGTCGGAAGTAACGAACGGTGGTCGATGGCGCGCAGATCGTGTCCGGGTTTCCCCGCTGCGACTGTGAGGTTGTCAGACGACAGCCTCACATTTGTGTCCTACCTGTGGCGACTAGGTTTGGGATTACCTGTTGAGAAAAATTTTGTTTACCTCATTGTAGCGGAGAAATAAAGTAACATTTAGTCGATAAATACAGTTAGGGTGTTAAACTCTCAGAAAATGAAAATTTTAAAATTAATTTCTTTGATGAGCGTGATTAGTTTAGTGAGGTGTGACGAGGGTTCAGAAACAGGGCGGCTGGATGTGTTTCATAAGGTGTTAGCTGTATCAGGAAACAGCGATGTGTTGTCTGTAAGTGATCTCGCGAGTTTTGTGGATAAAATATTTCAACACTTGGAGTGCGCTGACCACGATCATCAACATCAGGATAAATTACCAGGGAATACACACTCATGCGACACCGTTTTGGTGAGTTGTAGTTTTACAAAATTATCAGGGAATACAAACTCATGCGACACCGTTTTTGGTGAGTTGTAGTTTTACAAAATTACTAGGGTATGCATACTCATGCGACACCGTTTTGATGAGTTGTAGTTTTACAAAATTACTAGGGTATGCATACTCATGCGACACCGTTTTGATGAGTTGTAGTTTTACAAAATTATCCGGGAATACACACTCATGCGACACCGTTTTGGTGAGCTGTAGTTTTACAAAATTATCAGGGAATACAAACTCTTGCGACATCGTTTTGGTGAGTTGTATTGTTATAAAATAACATCGTTATTTCGTTAAAAAATAAAAACAGAATCAAATTCTGTTTATCGTCAGGCTGAAAAATTAAACCACAGCAATGATTTATTATATTCTATGATTGTTTCTTAAAGATGTATTGATAATGCTTAAACAGAGTAGACCTGCATTAACTATATAGAAATATGCCTACATTTTAAAATTTAACGCAATATTTTCACCAACAGATATTAAGATAATTTGCTTGGAACCTGACACTTTGGTATACTTTGATTCCAAATTACGGAAGACGATTCGTTGCGTCAGTGAAAAAAAAAAACAACAACCGAGAGTTATTTTAAAATTTGCACCGACTCTACACCCCCACCTGACCGTTGAGAGGAAGAAAAGATTACAATTTGAGGTGGCGGGAAGTGTCGGCTGAAGATAAATATCGTCTGTCAGTGAAGATGTCGTCTGCAGAGTTTAACGTCTTAAACGTCAGCGCGGCCAGTAAGGGGTCATCCATAAATGACGTCACACTTTCTTTTTTGTCAGCTTTAAACATTACTTATGGAAAGAAAATACAAAAGTGTGACGTCACACTTTCTGGAGCTCTCCCCTCTTCATCACACATCGTCACAAAATTCCGAACCACCCCACCCCCTTGGAGTGTGACGTCATTTATGGACGACCCCTAACTCAGAGAGGGCTCAGTGCGGTCAGTAACTTACAGGCAGAATACAGTTAAAATGGTTGCCACCCCCCCTCTCCATCAATTGATTGTCAGTTCACGAACACGGTCATATGGTGCATAACCCATAGCGGACTCAGCCCTAATGGATACCTGGCAACAAACAGAACCCCAATGTTTACGGTTAATGCTGCTCTTTGATCAAAAGAGCAGAACAACATTTGTTTGTTGTGATGGGTTTCAGATGTTTGGACGGACCGGGACAAATAAAACAGGATACATCAGTTCCGTGAACACCGCTTCCTCAGATCAAAACACAAAGGCCTGGGTCACTTGAAACTTGTGGGTCTGGGTTATTTGGAGTTTGTGGGTCTGGGTCATTTGAAACTTGAGGGTTTGGGTCATTTGATGTTTGTGGGTCTGGGTTATTTGAAAGTTGAGGGTCTGGGTTATTTGAAACTTGAGGGTTTGGGTCATTTGATGTTTGTGGGTCTGGGTTATTTGAAACTTGAGGGTTTGGGTATTTTGAAACTTGAGGGTTACGGGCAGGGGCGAGGGGGTCGTCTATCAATGACGTCACTCATATTAAGGGGTAGGCCTAAGAGGTTCAGACGTTAAGAATGATGTGTGACGTATGAAGCTTGTGTAGGGCGAATGGAAAGCGAAGCTTAAAAAGTTGACGTAGAATTCATTTTGTTTAATGAAATGAAAATTTAGAAAACACTAATCATCTGTCAATGTGTATGGTGTGTGACCTAATTATGGGTTGGGGTCTTGGGTTTTGTGACGACTTGTGACGGTTGGGTGGGGGTATAAAGTGGGTTAAATTAAAATAGGAAACACGACGTAGCATTTATTTAAAAAACACGATTTTAATGTTAGTCGTTTAAAGGGGGGAGGGGTAACTTCTAACGTCTTTTTTAGGAAAGGGGGGGGGTAACTTTTTGAGATAAGTGAGGAAGGGGATTCGAAATAGGTTAAAATAACGTCACGTGATTTGTGGATGTCAGGTAAAGACATGAATGTACACACAATCAAATCTTACGTCAAAGACGAACAACAATATAGAATCCGTTTACACACACAATGGGTCTTTCAAGTGTTTATTTCAAGTATAAAAAACTAAGGAAACAGTGCAAAACAAAATATAGATCACGTGACGATTGTTGTGAATGTAAACTCGAATAATAGGAGAGTTCCGTGTCTCATTACAACACAATGGGACAGGAGAGTTTCTCCTGAAATCTTCTGTTAGGGGCGGGTCAAACCAACTAGCACATAATACCCTTGAATTACATCCCCTAGACGTAGTTGAAGGCTTTACCAACATGGATAATGACATGCCGAAGTTAAGGCTGACGGAATGACAGCACAAGCTTATCTCTGAAAGGCAAACTGTTTGGCAAATTGTTGTCAGCAAGAAAACGTTGGTCGGCCCTTGTTGTTTCATTTTCTGTTGTTTATTTTTAAACTTTAAAACTATACCCCCCTCCCCACCCCCCAACACACCGCCCTCAACACACGAATTTTAATTAGCTCGAGCTTTTGTTTACCTTTTGTTAAACGTTCTGATTGTGGGCGTAAAACCTAACCTAACGACCTACTCATGTTGGTTAATTGTGAAGGTCTTCCCTGGTTGACTATAGAGTTTTTTTTATAGCATAGTGGTCATCCATAAATGACGTCACGCTTTTTTGGGCGATATTTACCTCCCCCCTCCCCTCCGTCACACATCGTCACAAAAAGCCAGACTCCCCCCCCCCCTAAAATTACGTCACACCTCATCCTACAACCCCCCTCAAAATTGCAGTTGATTTTTTTTAAACATCGATATTTTTTCCAAAATCTTGTCTGAACTCTGTCAAAATAGAGTATTTTAATCAATTCCTATTACAATTTATTACAGTTTTCTAAAACGCGAAATAACATCTAAAATTCGTTTTCTAACATTGTTTTTTTTATAATGCAAAAGTGTGACGTCGCACCATCTGAACCCCCTCCTCCCCCACATCACACACCGTCACAAAATTACGGACCCCCCCCCCCCACCCCCCTACGAGTGTGACGTCATTTATGGACGACCCTATTTCTGTTGATTCATGGACTTTTGCGTCTGTCTTTAACTGTCTTGTTTCAAATGTTGACCCCCGTCTTGTCTATAGACACGCGCCAGTTGTACTTTGTTTATTGAATTGATTGGACAATTAAAGTACTACCATGCCGCCAGACCCCGCAATGCGGGGGGAGGGGGGGTGGGAATGACCTTTAGGGGACTCAATTCCAACCAAAAAAACATTCAATTTTTTCTTTTCATAATTAATGGGTTTTTTTTTTCGTGCACCATAATAGTGGTTTAGTCAAAAAAAAAAAAAAAAACAGGTCTACTGTATCGGTGATTGTTCTACAGTAGCTAACATGCACGGTTGCGTATAAAAATATTTTAAAATCTACAAGAGCTGTAGTTTAAAAGATAGGCAGACATTCACACTGCTTCCATAACTTACTGCCCTTATTTAAAATATTAGTTCCCATAAAGCTTATTTAAATAGTTTTGTACTATGTAAATTAAAAAGAAATTCTTACTCTTAATTATTATTTAAATAAGACAAACTAAAGAATCGTTTAGCAATAAAAATAAATGTATTCGAAAATAATAATATACATACAAAAAAATCATAAAAATAAACATAACGCGAGAAACCATTGCACAAATCAAGCTTATATGTGTTTATATATTTTTTGATCACCTATCTATATAATGTATACTTCATTTTTCATATTAGTGGTGATATTGTGCCTATTTTAAACACATTCATTGGTGTTTGCCTCTTGGCTTTAAATAAATTAACTAATAAATAAAATAAATAAATGCAAACGATTATAAACACGATTATTTCAGGCTCAGAATGAGTTTGGACATAATTTTGTCAGGTTGGTTAAACTATATATATATATATATATATATATATATATATATATATATATATATATATATATATATATATATATATATATATATATATATATATATATATATATATATATATATATATGTATATATATATACAGGGCGTAGCGAGGGGGGGGGGCGGGGGGGGTGCGGACCGCACCGGGTGACACCATTTAGGGGGGTGACACCAAGGCAAAAAATAGCAAAATATATAGAGAAAAACTTGAGGGGGGTGCAAATCGAAAGTTTGAGGGGGGGTGCAAATCAAAAACTTGAGGGGGGGGGGGTGCAAATCAAAAACTTGAGGGGTGGGGTGCAAATCGAAAGTTTAAAAGTTTGTCCCTGGGAAGGGTCGCTACGCCTCTGGGGGGGGGTGACACCATTAAGTGCCGCACCGGGTGACACCCGACCTCGCTACGCCACTGTATATATATATATATATATATATATATATATATATATATATATATATATATATATATATATATATATATATATATATAGGGAAGCACAAAAACATTTGTTTGCGAGGGAGCCTTTTTTTCTAGCCCCCTCACTGGCGGGCTCTATTTGTTTACACCTGTACCACAGGGGCGCCCTCCTCCTAACAGCACCCCGGGCGGGCTCTATTCGTTTACACCACTACCACAGGGGCGCCCTCCTCCTAACAGCACCCCGGGCGGGCTCTATTTGTTTACACCACTACCACCTAGCTAACCCCACTGCATTAAATTATGACGACATCTAATGTCAAGAGGACCCAAGCAGCGTTTAGATTTACATTTGTCTGACGTTTGAGAGAAGAGAATGACACCAAGTTTTCTCCCTGCTCCAACATGAGACACTAGAGTTCGCCCCCTCTACAGCACATCATTGTTTAAAGTTAACTCAGCGGGGGACATGTGTAGGGGGAGTGTAACCCAGGCTATATCCATAGCTATAATTCAGTACACAATTGTAGGTAAAAACGTGAATAAGATTTTCACAGAAACTAAAGACTGATGTTTTTAAGGAAAGAAAGTACGGATAATATTTTACAATACATCGGCACATTTCAAAGAAACAATCAATGGCGCAGGCGGATTGTTTATA